TTTTCTCAAACATGACCTAATGACACTACCCTGCTCCAGTGCGCTTCGTTTAGAGCAAGTTTGCATATAGTTTGTGAGATTTTGGTTTGGAATATCTACCCTTTGAGTTTAAATTAATGAGCATACCTTCACCGTTTTGGAGTTTGTTTATTGCCATTTTGTTGGACTGCTCACTACTTTTATATTTGTTTTCAACGCTAGTTTTCAGACGCAATTCAGGAACTTGTTAGGAGCTGCTCGCGTGTTTTCAGTGGAATTTCCAGCTGGAGTTTCTGGAAATCTCAAATGGCTCTGGCACATTCAGCATCTGACCCTGATAATCCTGAGGATGTATATAAAAAGGTAAAGATCATTCGTAACTTTGAATTGTTGCTCCAAGTTCTCTCAGCCGATTTTTCTTTACTTTTAGTGTGCTATTCTATACTATAATGTGGTTTAAATTTCTCGTAAATCTTCGTATAAGGTGATTTGGCTATGTGTTTTATCTAGGCTGAAGAGTATTGGGCACATGCAAGTAGGGATATCGATGGGATGCTAGGAGGATTTGCTCATTTGCATACACCGGACATTAGAGCTTCTAAAGCGTTTATTAAAAAACTGAGGGCGAAGGTAAGGAATTTCAGTAATATTCAAGATTTTTGTCTCCTTTGCCATCTAAAAAAAACCTTTTCTGTTGCCTGAATCTCGTTGTTGATGCTGTTCACAGATACAAAGCATCAGATCTGACATCTTTGTCATTTTTCAAAATAATACGGAATTCCTTAATGACGTTATCTTCTGTATTTTTCTCATAGCTAACAGTAGGATGAAATCCCTTAGAGCTTGGCTTATTCGTCCATAGTAAGATTCTGAACAAGTGGTACTGATTCACTATCTCAGACCCACAAACTCCGATCTTATATCTCGTTTAAAGTGGATTTCTGATATGCTGGCTAGAAATACCGCACAACTCTGTGCTCCTGTTGAGATAATTTGTAATCAAAATATGAGAAATACTATTTAGCGCCATTTAGCCTCACTCTCGCGGACTAGTGATCGTGGTACCTTACAACTATTAGAGGTAATGGAAAACGGTGGCTACAACTCAGCCTTTTATATCACGTCAAATTTCTAACGATGGGATAGCTGTCCGCGGCGAATTCAGCGGTGAATAGTCCAGTAGCCGAA